TATATATATATATGATTGGATCGTTTATAGTAGCCGTCTGTACATGTGGAACTTGGTTAAAATACCAACGCCGGATAATAAATGACAATTTCGAATGTGTCGGTGGCACTACTTAAATCTCGAAGAAATATCCCAGCCGGTTCCGAACATAACCCGGTGCGAAGAGCTATCAGACGCCAAGTGAAAATGAGCTTGCGATCCGACCGTGAACTATGGTGGACAAAGAAAGCCGAAGAAATAGAAGAGGCCCAGAAAGCCAGTAATGCCCGGAGATTATTTCAGTTGATCCGTGCGACCGGTCCCCGGAAACCACCTGTGAGTGAAACTATCAAACACCAGAACGGAACGACCATCTCGAACAAAGAACGCCTCGACCGATGGACTGAATACTTCGAACAACAACTGTCGTGGCCACCAGCCGGCACCCATCTAGAGCCCACAAGTGAAGCAGAACCCTGGACGGTGAACGTGGAACCACCTACGACCTCGGAGGTTTACGACTGCATATGTTCCCTCAAGCGCCACCGAGCTCCCGGGAGGGGGGTGACCTTCTACCCGCACTGTTCAAAGACGGGGGTGAAGTCCTCAGTCAGCGCTTGTCCGATCTGTCTGCTTGCATTTGGGAAAAGGAGTCTATCCCAGAAAAGTGGGGAGAAAGATGGAAAGATGGACTTAACACTTCGCCCGCTACACAAACGTCCACCTAGTTACCAATTACTCATGGCAGACACCACAAACTTCGTACTGAACATAATCCGTAGCGAAGCTCGTAGCCGATGTGAATCAGCCCAAATATCAGGCTATTGAACACAAAATTTCAAGGTGAAGATAGCAACCTGGTGGAAATCTGCAAAATCTGTTGGCCAACAGTCGCCAGACCTCATCACAGGCTTTTCCACTTAACTTGGGGAGCCAGTGTTCCAGGTGGATTAGGGAACCTCTACATTGCTATCTATATCCGAAACCGGTGATACGGCGCTCTGTGAGAGCTACCGAGGTATCAGCCGGATGGATATCACAGACAAAATCTTTGTCATACTACGACTACTGTGCCTCTCCCTCAGCTCAGAGAAGCGAGTCCCACACCGGAAAAAAATCGGGGAGGCATCTGAGCAAGCAGTCATGTTGAATGAATATTTAAGCTAGGACGTCTTGGAACACCGCTACAAATTCCGGCAACCAACCACAACTTGATTCATAGAATTCCGCACAGTACTTGACTGTTAACAAGAAATGTGTGTTGTACCTAGAAAACTGACGGCGTGGAGCACATTGGCTGGGACTTCGTTCCACAGGGTGCAACCACGCCAGAATCGCCAAATGGGAGCAGTCAAACCCAGAGCGACGAGAAACCGTACTACGAGTAATCATGCTACGAGGAGCTCATGGAATAAAGTCGTAATGTCCTCTGACAGAAGGCAGTAAGACGTTTCCCCCAGGCGATCAGTAAATTCAAGTTCATAGAATCAGTGATGCTGCCTTCCTCAGAGGAAGGACGGGTTAGAAAAAATCGCCTCTAAAACCGCACACTCAGATCGCCACACGGCTGACCGTGACCAGCGGTATACTCCTCAATGCGGTCGAAATACTTTTAAAACCAGGGGATCTGGTGCTGCTCAAAAGGCACCAACAGGGCCTAGCCGCATTAGAAGTCATCATCATCATCATCAACGACAGCATGACATCAGTGTTCAACACCGGTGCTTCACTGCCATACAACCATGTCTTATTTGAAAGCCTTATTGTAAAGAAAAGAATAAAGGTGGATGGGGGAGGGACTTAGTGCTAGCTTAACACAATCATTCCGAGGTGCCTACACCTCCAGACATTCACTCAGGCAATCTGGATAGAAACTGACAACAAGAACGCTACTGACATCGGTTGGCAGCCATATCTTGTAGTGTCTCCAACCAGGCACAGTGAGGATCACGCGGTCCCCATCCTGGAAGGCGAGTAGCACCGACAGCACCCAAGCGTTTTGTGATCTCCTTCATACTCCTCTGCCAAGTC